GCACGACCAGGCCCCTTCCTAGTCTCCCCTCCCTTGCACTCTGGCCTTTTTCCTGCTCAAGTATCTAGACATACATGTTCTATTGTTTGGTGCATTTGATGCTATTTTAATCAGTATTAATTGGTTACTTTGATACCATCTCTTCCTAAACTGATCTCAAGAACGTTCCTCTCTCAGGGCTTTCCATGCAAGGGGTCACAGGAACACATATTTGCAAAAGTGTCACTGTCTTCAGAAATTCAGAGTGAGTGGAATGAAATTCCATTGAGGCCCTGGGCTCAGACTGATTCCATTCTCTCTCCTTCTAGACAGCAGTATTAAGCAACTCAACCCTGAAGACATGGATGAAATTGAAAAGATTGAATATTGAAGACAGAACTCTATTGCTTGTGAAATATCCTAGTTTATGTGAGAATGTCCCAGTGGGTTTCGAAGGTAATTTTTTCCGTTGGGGCTTTTTCAAAGTGAAACTGTTAAATATGGGAAAATAAATGTCACGGTAGCCTTAGTCTTAAGACCCGAGGTCTTTCTGAAACCAGATTGGTGTGAAGCACATGATCTTTTTGAATAAAAAAGCAAGATTATTTCTTATTCTAATCTCATTTACAGGTAGACATCTTTGTGTGGGCCCTGGGATGTTGCGGGACTTCATTTCCAGGATCTGAGCACACCGTGCCACCTGTGAACATGTCAGGGTCCACGAGATGGCAGTAGGACCTCACTGGTTTGGGAATGTGAGCTAGCGGGACAGAGAAGCCGTCCAGCTCCAGGCCTCCCTCAGGGGCCTGCTCCGCCATGCAGGCACAAGCACGCGCGCGCGCACACACACACACACACCCCTTAGGTGGGAGTGCAGGGTGAAACCTTCAAAAAGTAAAACAAATTTGAAAGAGAACATTTTGCTTTTTTAAATGTTTCAGTTGACATACAGAATGTGAAAATATTTTCTCTGCTTGGTTTCTTAATGTCTTCAAAATAGAGCAAATTTAATCCATCATCAGCTATCTAATAGTCTCTGAAAATGTGTCTTTGTTATAGACATTTCTTCAAAACAGGCCAGGGAGGGGGGGATCCCATTCGCCTTATTAAAGAAGTCACATTTCATTCAAGGTATATCTGAGAATCCCAGACGTTTTCCTGTAAGTCCCATTGAGATGCTTTTCATTTCTCACATTTGCTGCTAACAAGTGAAAACAGTGGGCTTGAGGAGCCCGGGGAAATTGATACTCTCGCAGAAAGCTGGAGCAGATCAGCTGTCTGTAGCTAGAGCCCAGGCCCTGGCTCTGTCCGTCCCACCGGAGCCCCACCGGCAGCCACAGGGACTGCCCCCATCACCCTGGCCTGGAAGGGTGTTTCTGGCATATCTGTTTTGGTATTCCACGCACAGAGCTCCCTGCCCATGTTTTATCCTCGTGAGCAGGGCTCAGAAATACATGAAAACCATCCAGCTGCCTCGCTCCCTGGCGGACGTTTATTGTGCACCCTTTACTCCAGACGCCAGCGAAAGAGAGATGAAAAAGAAGTTATGGCCGTCTCAGACTTCAGAGTAACAGCAGCCTCAGAGGAAGCCAGCAGGGTAACAGACTGTGCGGAAGGAGGGAGGGGTGTGCAGGTCACTGGTGCCGCTCGGAGGAGGGGCCCCGAACACCAACGGGGCCGACTTCCCAGAGAAGACATTGTCTCCTTTCACAAGAGAGAAATACATATTGAATGGTGCCTCTGGTCGTGTACTCAGGGCCGCCCTACACTTACCTAACATGGGCCCAGTGAGGCAGCCTTCCGGGCCCGGCTCTCCCGCGCGTGGTCAGTCTTCCTGTCCACTCAGTACCCAGCCCTCCCAGCACAGTGCCCAGTACATAACAGGCGCTCAGTAAATATTTGTCGAGGAAATAATCCTTTGCCATTTCTTCATTCACTAACATTCTTCCCTGACGTTTTCCATCCAAAGTTTTGAACTGCAATTATATGGTATAAGATGACTGATCATAGGAAGTATATCAAGACGTCCTGCTCTCTCTCTTTGAAAAGTCAGTGGGACTGTGCATCATACTCAGCTCCGCACTGGGGAGTTCTAAATAAAACTTTACCATTTCCCTATCCAGTTCAGATCTCCCATAGACTCTCTACCGGTTACCCTCACAAACGTCTTCAGTGATTTCCATTTGGCAACTGTTCCCACAGGGTCTGCAAATAGTGGGCATTCTTCAGCCTTCCCCTTTGCCCCTCTCCTCACATTCTTTTGTCTCGCCACCTAGGAGGCAGCAAAGCCGTCCTGTGTTCTGTGTGCATCACAGCTGTCTTAACACTAGCTGTCCAGTTTGGTGAGTCAACAATCCGAAGGCTGTTTTGCAGGGCGCAGCTCCTTGCTGGGAACTGCAAGCAATTTTCACATCTCCGTGCAAGGCCTGGCCAAGGTCATCTCTCAGTTGATGCCTGCCTGAGGAAGGAGTCCATGGAGAGGCAAGGAATAACCAGATGATTTCAGTGCATCTGTGGGCTGGGTTAATCAGCTGTGTATTACTTGGCCCCAAATACTAAACCAAATCCATTAAGTTGATCTTGGCCGGCTTGATACTGTTAGCATATTGAAATTCACAATTACGTAGAGCAGGGCTGTGACTCCCAGTGGGAGTTGTGAGTGAACACCTCGCCTGGGGCACAGCTCCTATGATGTTAGGTGCTGGATTTAAGGCAACTGTGAATAATAGGAAAGGCAAACGCGTTGGTCATAATCTGGTAGGATGTCTGACAGCCCTTTTCAAGAGATGTTATTGCTTTTGGTCATGCGGAGGTGTTGATCCCCCTCAGCAAAGCTTGGTCCCAGCAGTCTCTGCACATGTGACCAACAGTGGAGAGTCTTAGAGGATTGCTCGCGGAGGGGGAGATGACCAGTACCTTCCAGCTCTGGGGAGAGTAGCTGGTTGGGTCCAGCCTTGCTTCTGCTCTTGGTCCTCTCAAAGGCTCCGTCTCCTTCCCTTTGATTCAAGGAGGGACCCCACTGAAAAGAGGACCCGAGCAGAGACGACACAGCTGTTGGAATGGAAAGTGAGACCGGGAGTTCAGAGCAAGGACCTCTCTGTGGACCTGCACTTCTTTGCCCTCTGAGCTCGAGGGCCTTCCTCTGATCCTTCCTGCTGTTGTACGGAGAGCCCATGCTTGCTGATCCCACGGGCACGTGAGGCCCAGCAAGCGGGCCTATGTTAGTTTTACCACAGGACTAACAGAGTTGGGTCCTCTTAAATCCTACCTCCGTCACTCCAACCCTGCCCCCATGATGGCAGGGAACCATGTGTATTAAAGACACTCATAGCATTGTAACCCATGGACTAGGAAGTATCTTGGTCTTGCTTGAAATATCTCAGACTATGCTTCAAGGAATACCAACTTTATATTCTTGGAAGAATCCCAAAACAACTCGCCCCAGAATTTTGTATACTTTTTTTTAACCCATGGCTGAGAGGAGAGTTAGACCTTGCCCTTCTTGCTTCTGTCTGCTGACCCCCTGGCCCCGCTAATTTTAGTTTTCGGTTCTAGGTTCTGCATTCTCCCGGGTTCTTGGCTCTCCCGTGCTCCCTGCTGTCGAAGGAAGGATGGGTCAGCCAGGCTCTAGCCTCTCACACCCCTCCCTCCCACCCCAGCTGTGCTGCCTGGTGCCCCTCAGAGGCAGGTTGTCAGAGCCATGGTCTTGAGACACTGCCCTCTTCCCCTAATATTCCTTATTGCTTTGTGTCTCAGTCAGCTCGGGCACCATAACAAAACACCACAGACTGGTTGGCTTAACAGAAGTTTCTTTTCTCACAATTCTGGAGGCTGGAAAGTCCAAGATCAAGATCCAGCAGCGTTCAGTTTCTGGCAAGGACTCTGTCCTGCCTTCGCACTATGTCCTCACGTGGTAGAGAAAGAGAGCACTAGCTCAGTGCCCTCTCTGGTGTCGTTAATCCCATAATCCCACCACCAGGACCCCTGCATCGTGACCTAATTACCTCCCCCAAGCCTCACTTCCAAATGTGGTCACATTGGGACTAGGGCTTCAACATAAGAATTTGAGGTGGGGGTGGAGAACAAACATTGTGTCCCACCTGCCAAATAACACTTTGCAATCTACCATTTTAAAACTATCCATATCCATAACATTCCATTCACTGTCATTTAAAACTTGGGGTGAGGTTGAAGCACCATTATCCTTTTATAATGTGGTTTTCCACCCCACCATTAAACAGGTAACTCTTAGACCCTTCTAATGTAATACTGGGAACACACCAGAGATGGGATGATTCTTGGTGAAGAGAAGGAACAGTATGTCCTGAAAATCTACAGAGTCCCACTGCCCCTGTGGAGCTGTCAGCCCTCCTCCCCCAGTTAGCTTCAACTTCTGCTTGGGTTAGAGACAACCAGAAGCTCTAATATATTAAGAAAGACGAGCACTGAAAAGGTGACCCCCCCACTCTTGTATTCCAGAAGAAATGAAAGAATTTTTTAAAGAGATTTTTATTTATTTATTTATTTATTTATTTATTTATTTATTTGAAGGAGAGAAACACAGCAAGAGAGGGAACACAAGCAGGGAGAGTGGGAGAGGGAGAAGCAGGCTTCCCGCCGAGCAGGGAGCCCGATGCGGGGCTCGATCCCAGCACCCTGGGATCATGACCTGAGCCGAAGGCATATGCTTAACGACTGAGCCACCCAGGCGCCCCGAGAAATGAAAAAATTTTCTAAATGAGAATCTTTACAGATCTAAAGTCTTTAGTCCTTAAAGAGAAGTGTGGGCCACTATCTCACTCTCTTCTTCGGGAATTCATCTTTGCCCATGATTTTTTTCTATTCGGTAGAATGGCCATGGGTTTCTATATTCCCATTTCTAGAATATATTTTTCATGAGTGGGGATAATGTCTTATTTTTTTCTAAAGATTTTATTTATGAGAGAGAGAGAGAACATGAGTGGGGGGAGGGGCAGAGGGGCAAGCAGACTCCCAGCTAAGCAGGGAGCCCAACTCGGGGCTTGATCCCAGGACCCTGAGATCATGACCTGAGCCGAAGTCAGATGCTTCACTGACTGAGCCACCCAGGTGCCCCTAATGTCTTATTTTGAGCTTGATACCATGTTAGGAAGAATGATGTGGTTTCACTCTAGTCCCGTAGTTTGTGATTTGTGGCTTAGAATCCCAGTTGGAAGGAAATGATTGACCAGGACGCCCCACTTTTTGTGAGGTTTAGAGGCATGGTCAAGTATAACAGCCTCAGGCATGATTTAGAAGGCAGGGCCTGAGCAGGCTACTTTGTGAAGTAGTGAGCTCCCCATTCATGGGATGACTGTTCAGTCGATCAGAAGCCTCCACCACGGTCACTTGCAATGGAGACTGTACTTCTGGTTCTTGAATTAGCTGGGAGTTTGGAATACAGTGATCTCAGAGACCGTGTCCATTCTAAAATACCATGTTTCCATGACTGCACACAGCAGAGCTATACACGTGGAAGAACATGAACCATAGAAGCCTTGCACAGAAGAAGATTGTTTTCCACAAAGGAGAAGAAAATGGAGTGATTAAGTTGTAACTGCACTCTGTCTTAACTTTCAGATTCACGGCTTCTTCCCCATGTGACCGTCTCTCTATACCTATCTTCATTAACTCATGCAGAATATGGATTATTTTTCACTTAATATTTATATTACAAAAGCAATAAAACAGCAAATAAAAGTAGTAGGGGGAAATTACCAAAAATATCATTACTTCATCATAACAGTTATCTTGATATAGTCCTTTCCATCTTAGTATGACTATTTATAGTTAATCATAGTGCATATATGTTATGTCTCTTTATTTGAAACATTCAAATGTTTTTTCCTATTGCTGCATAGTCTTTGGAATTATTAAAAATAATAATTGACCAGACTACTCTGTCAGGTGAATGTAACACAGTGCATATTCCTAGCTTTGTTAAACATTTATGTGGTGTCCAGTTTTTCAACCTATTGTAATGATAAGTAATCAGTAAATCTTCTTG